TCCTGCGTCTCCCCCCCGCGGCTGCTCCCCCTGGCTGTCACCCTCTACGTAAGGATGGGAGTGGGGATGCTGCTGCTGGGGGGTGCTCGGCTTTAGGGGCGCGGGGCAGGGACCCCACCGACCCCTCTCTCTGCCATCCCTGACCCCGCAGGCTCTCTGGCTCCTCTACCTGTTCATCATTCTCGGCGTGACGGCAGAGAAGTTGTGAGTAGTAGCCCGGTGGTGGGGGGGAGGGTGGGTCCCCGGGGTGAGCAGGGACCCCCGAGGGCCTGGAGCAGCCCTGTGACCCCTCTCTACCTCCTCTGCTCTTCCAGCTTCTGCCCCAACTTATCGGCCATCTCCACCAACCTGAAGCTGTCTCACAACGTGGCAGTATCCTTGTGGGCGGTGGGGGACCCCAGCCATGGAGGGGGGATGCAGGGACAGGACAGGGGGAGGTGGCACGATGGGGGCACTTCTGCAAACCCCTCGGCATCGTGCCAAGGGAAACCGATTGGGAGCAGGAGCCGGAGCTAGGGTGCGTGGTGGTGTGCTGGCACTGGGAGGGAGTCCAGCGGTGGCCAGAGCAGGCAGGTGCCCCGTGTCTCTGTGGGGAGGAGGCTACCAGGTCTTTTCCTTGACGTCCCCTCTCCATGGTGTCACCTTCCTGGCCTTTGGCAACGGGGCACCGGATGTCTTCAGTGCTGTGGTGGCCTTCTCTGACCCACGCACAGCGGGGCTGGCCATCGGGGCTGTCTTCGGTAAGGGGACCCCCACTGGGGGCTGACAGCTCAGGGGGGTGATGGGTTGGCTGGGACACTGCAGGGCTGTGGGATGTTTTCCCCTGAGAGAGAGGCGTTGCATTGGCAGGCGCTGGCGTGTTCGTGACCACGGTGGTGGCTGGGGGCATCGCCCTGGTCAAGCCCTTCACGGCCGCCTCCAGGCCCTTCCTCAGGGATGTCATCTTCTACATGGTGGCCGTCTTCGTCACCTTCATGGTCCTCTACTTTGGCAGGATCACGCTGGGAGAGGCTCTGGGTGAGTGCTGCAAGGGGCTGGGGGGTGGCGGGAGCAGCCCGGGGGTGCCGTAACCCCCTATCACTCCCCCATCCCAGGTTACCTGGGGCTGTATGTCTTCTATGTCTTCACTGTGGTGCTCTGCACCTGGATTCACCGGCGGCAGCGGAGGGAAGGACTGGCCCCTGCTGGACCCTGGGAGCCAGGTAAAGGGCCGCCCGGCTGTGCCGATGGGACCCCCAGCGTGCTGGGGTCTCCCTCCACTGCCCCTCTCCTCTCCTCTTCCCCCCAAGAGATGCCAACAGATGCTGAGGAGCAGGAGTCCTCAGGCACAAACAGCGGAGACTATGGTATGTCGCTCCCGGTGGGCTCGGGGCTGGCTCTGCTCTGTCCTCGGGGGTGGTCAGGGGTCCCAGGGACCCCCAGGGTGCTGCATGCCTGACCGAGCCCACAGGGTGGTCATGGCCGGGTGCTACCCTGGGGCAGGGGGATCTTCCTGCGGCCATGCAGGCGAGTGCAGCCCCATGCTGGAGGGGTCAAGGAGTCCCCACCCCACTCAGCCACCACGGCCCCTCGCAGGTGAGGAGTACCAGCCCCTGCTCCCCTCCCGGGAGACCTCCCTGCGCATCCTCACCACCGCCCTCAGCCCCTTGGACTACCGCAAGTGGAGGAGGAAGCCCTGGTACTGGCGGCTCTTCAAGGTCTTCAAGGTGAGTAGGAGGGGGCATGAGCCTGGGGGAGCCCCCTGCACTGGGCATCCCCCTCCCTGCTGGCCCCTGGGGCTGCGTCACCCCTGGGCTTTGCAATGGGGATGGGGGAACAAGAGCAGGCAGGTGGGAGACCAGTCCCAGGTTGTCCCATCTCGGGGTTCCTCCATCCCTGCTCACAGCTGCTCCTCCCAGGTGCCTGTGGAGCTGGTGTTGCTGCTCACTGTTCCCGTTGTGGACCCCGACAAGGACGACCTGAACTGGAAGAGACCCCTCAACTGCCTGCACATCCTCACCAGCCCCCTGCTCTGCGTCCTCACCCTGAAGTCAGGCACCTGTAAGAGCCCCGGCAGCCCTGGGCACCCAGGAGGGGATGGGACCGAGATGGCCACCAAAGCCCTGGGGACTGCAGGAGCCCTTTGGAGCTGGCACCCCGTCTGGGGAGGGGAGGACAGGCCAGCGAAGAGCCAAGCTGGTGGGACTGGTTGGCAGCTGGATGGGTCTGTCCTCCCCCCAGGGGTGGGAGTTTGGGCTCCTAGCATCCAGGTCCATGGGGGAAAAAATGGGGCAGTCCTGCCTGCCTGGGGAAACTGAGGCACAGAGGGGAGCAGGCCTATGAGGGCTTAGGGTAGAGGTGGCTTTAGGGGACAAGGCTTCACCTCATACCACCAGCCCAGTCAGATACTGCCCCAGCCCATGTGGTGCCTGTGAGGCTGCTCTGATGCCCCCTCTCTCTATCACATGTAGATGGGCTGTACCAGATCCATGGCATCTTCCCAGTCTGGGGACTGGTCACACTGGTTGGCTCTGTCCTGGCCATCATCACCTTCGTCACCACAAGCAATGAGGAGCCGCCCAAGTACCACTGTGTAAGGTGCCCCCAGCCCGGAATGGCCACTGGCGACCAGCCCAGCCCACTCCGGACTGGGCTGAGGGTTCTGGGGACCAAGTAGGAGCCAGGACCTTCTTCCCAGTCCCCAAGGGGGACACAGCTGGCTGGAGGCGCGCAGGGTCCTGTGGGATGCACCCAGGGACAAGCTTACCCCTCTGCCCTGCAGGTATTTGCCTTCCTTGGGTTTTTGGCCAGTGCCATGTGGATCAACGCTGCGGCCACGGAGCTGGTGAACATCCTCCGGACCCTGGGCATCATTTTCCAGCTGAGCAACACTGTGCTGGGCTTGACACTGCTGGCCTGGGGCAACAGCATCGGTGGTAAGGGCTCTGCTGTGCTCCAGTGCTGCCCCATGTGTACCCGGCCTCCTGGCATCTCCCAAGGTCTCCCCTTCTCCCTCTGCAGACACCTTCTCGGACCTCACCATGGCACGGCAGGGCTATCCCCGCATGGCCTTCTCTGCCTGCTTTGGGGGCATCATCTTCAGTATCCTTTGGGTGCTGGTGGGAGGTGGTGATGCTGGGGGCAGGGGCTGCCTTGGTTTCCCTGCCTGCAGCCCAGGGAGAGCCCCTGCTCCTGGGGCACCCCTGGGAAGGAGCTGGGCAAGATCCATCCCAGAGTCCCTGGGATGTTGGCAACCTCCCTGGTGCCCACATAGTGCAGGGGGACTGGTGTGGTATTTGTGAACCGTGGGAGCTGCAGGGATGGAGCCAGCAGCATCCTCCTGTCCCCACTACTGTCCCAGCCCCAGCAGGGTGGGGGTTTGGGCTAGAGCCTGGTAGATTTGGGATCTGCCAAAGGGAAGGAGGGAAAGTGCCTGTGCCACCCTCCGGGAGGCTTTGTGTGGTCCCCAGACCAGGCTTGAAGCTCTCCTCCTCGAGTGCTCCAGGCTGTATTCACCACAAACAGGCAACAGCCACGGGGCGTGGGCAGGGAGGGCGAAGACTGGTGCTGTCTCCCTCCCCTGGGTGGGAGGAATGTGGCCGGCTCCATTGCTCTCCTGAGGTCCCTGCACTGTGTTGTGGTCCTGACCGTGCCCCAGACATCCTGGTCGGTGTGGGACTCGGCTGCCTGCTGCAGATGACCAGCGGCCAGCTGGTGGTGAAGGTAAGGCTGCAGCAGCACGGTGGCACGGGTCAGGCTGGCAGCAGGACCCCGGTGTCCCTCTCCATCACTCCCCATCTCTCTGGCAGCTGCAGCCCCACAGCCTCCTGGTCTGGATCCTCGCCGGGGCCCTGGGGCTGAGCTTGGTCTTCTCCTTCGTGTCGGTGCCAGCGCAGTGCTTCCAGCTGGGCAAGGCATACGGCATCTGCCTCATCCTCTACTACCTGGCCTTCCTCTGCGTGGCCCTGCTGACCGAGTTCAGGGTGATCCGTCTCTCTGCCATCTGACGGGCCCCGCACCAGCAGGAGATGCACGTCCATCCCTGGCTCTTGCTCTGCCTGCCCGCTGGATCGGGGCCTTGCTCTCCCGTCTCCCTGTCCCTGCTAGGGGGATGAGGGCACCTCGACCCCAACCGTGCTGCTGCCACCACATCCTGGAGGCATCACGTGCCAGCCCAGCTCTGGGCCTTCGCTTTCCGGAGCAGGGGGTTGGTTGGGCTATGCTTTGGGAAAGGAAAAGGAGCTGTGAGTCACTAGCTACGTCCTTTCCCCGCTCTGTTTAATCTTGTTTAACTCAAGGCGGGTCTGAGCAGGAATAAGGTTAAGACCTCAGCTTCCTCGGGTCCCAGTGGCAGAGGAGGGGGCAGCTCCAGCCCAGGGTCACAACAGGAGAGATTTTACCTCTTCAGCCACTTTATCTTCCCTTCCCTGTCTCCATCCTGGCTGCTCTGGGGCAGGGCTGGGGCAGTCATGCTACAGGGGGTAACTCACCGACGGTCTGAGCACAAGTTTGTTGTTGCAAAGGACGTGACGTGTTCGCACTGTGGGTTTGAAATAGCAGCCGAGGCAAAGCGAGATAGGGTTAAGGTGAGACAAAGCTCCAGGCAGTGCTTGGTTTTAATGCAAGCAAAGGCTGGAGGAGAGGAAAAAAAAAAAAAAAAACCAAAACCCAAACCAAGGGAAGTTAGTTTCCCCTGCTTTTTTTAAGCTGTTTTTCAACCTGAATTTCAGATCCTACTTTTCTCCTCCTCTGAGGGTGGACAGAGCTGTAGGAAAGGACTTGGAGGTTTCCATATGCAGTGGTAGCCTCCAGCACTGTAAAAGAGGAAAAAGAGCAATAAAACCCACAAACCCAACCTCGACTTGCGGTGCTTGCTGCGAGGGTGGCGATTTCTCCTGCTCTGTGCTAGTGTAACACAACCCTTACCCAGCACGCTGCCTTTGGGGGGGAGAGGGAACCCCTGGGGCTGAGCCAGCAGCAGCAGCGAGGGTGGTTTGTCCCAGCGGCTTGGGGAAGTGGTTTCCTCAGGGTTCACCAGCAGTTGGTTTCTCAACAGCAGTCACATGCGCCTGACTCTGCCATTTAGTTGGGAACTGCACAGTCACGACAGTCCCGGCACAGGGTCAGCACGGGCTGCGAGGGGCATTACTCAGCTCCCGCGGGACGGGGATGCGGCGGGGACAGCCCATGGTCCCGGGGGAAGCGGAGCTGGTGGGCTGGTGCTTCTGCTCGGCGTCGGTGGGGTCCGCAGGGCACAGGCTAGAAATCAAACAGCCGTTACGGAGGGACAACCACATTTCTGCTCTGCGGGGAAAGAGGGGCTGTTTTGCAAGAAAAACAACCGTCGGACCCAGTTCCTGCTCCCTTCTAGGGGTGCCAGCACCCTCCTGGGCCTGGATCGTTTCTCCTTTTTCTAACCAGATACGGGCTTTCACAAAAAATGACGTTCCCTGTGCCTGCAGCTATTGGCTGTGCCCTGAACCTGCTCACAAGTCACCAACAGCCGCTGGAATTATCCGGGGAGACAAACCCCAGTTTCTTACACACAGCAGGGCTAAAGCAATCAAAACCTTGGCCGATGTACCAATAAAGAGGTACAGGGTCAAAAAAAACCCCCCAACCCCTTCTAACCTTAAACACTGCACTGGGGTGGCTTTAAACACCGAAGTTTGAAAGCATTATCTTAACGTTTAGGGAAAAAAAATGGCAGGGGAAGGGCAGAAGGGAAGCTGGGCTTTGCAATGTCCAGGAACAAGAATTCAGCGCGGCTCGGCAGGGCATGCATGCAAAATATGCCCACGCAAGCAGTTGCCACCGGAGAGGGAGGGCGGGCACCACTCCTCTTCAAACACCATGGAAATGCTTCAGCCGCAGCTGAGCCCGGCTTCTGGAATCACACAGGAAGGAGGAAAGGAAGCCGCTGCCTTTACAAAGCCGAGGATGCTTTTTATTAGTGTGCTTGAAAAAATCTAGAGAACATTTTACAGACATGTCCATAAAATCATTTTACAAACAAAATGCCAGCATACAAAATCCTGCAGTGCTTCCTCCCTTGCTCCCTACAAAATGATTGTCGCCATCGTTAGTCTGTGTGTCAGGTGGGGGGGAGGAGGATAAATAGAAGGGGATGCCCCGTACTCAAACTTTGTTTCCTTCCAAAGTCATATGGAAGAAGTAAACTCCTGCGACTCTCCTTGGTTTACAAAAATAATTAATACAGTGTGCATGTTGGGGGCAGATCCACGCTGCGGCACGAAAACCTGAGCCCTGAACCCCAGCCCAAGCGCTCCCGTTATTGCATGGTAAGCAGGTTAGTGCCCCCCTCAATACAGCCTAAAGCTGCAGCTCCTTTCACACACACACACACACACCCACCAAAAAACACCCCCCCACACACCCCCTCCCACCAGAAAAAAAAACCCAAACCAGCCCCTGACAGCCCTGCAAGGAGAAACAGGCTGTAGGGGAATGCGGAGTTTAAACACAGCCACGTATTTTTTTTTTTCCCCTAACCTTCACAATGCTCATTCATCTTGCCCACAACTTAAAACAGAACAAACAACATCTCCTCCAGCCCCAGGACTAATCTGGATAAATCTCCCAGGCTGCGGCTCCATGCAGAGCAACTGCAAGAACAACAACTGCACTGCTCATTAATTTGTGGTCGAATTTATGGTTTGGAAAACAGCCCTTTAAGGTCCTTCACGGTTCAGCTCAGAAGTAGTTTCATACCTGCAGTACCCAGAAAGGAAACAAAGAATTGCCCTGAGGCACCCAGGGAAATTTGGCAAAGGTTGAGAGCAGACGCTGGTGTGCATGCTGCCCCAAAAGCTGCTCACCCGCTCTTTCCGTCCCATAGCCCAAATGCTCCCACTATGCTCTGCAGGGAGATTTCCAGAAGCGGCTCCGTCTTGCCCACTTTTGAAAGTCTCATCCACCCAGGAAATGCCCCTGAGCTGCCCAGGCAGGACCAGCCCTCTCCCGCTGTCCTTGGGCCACCTGGTGAGGCTACCAAGGGAAAAACAGGTACGTGGGACCCAGGGAAGGGGCACACAGATCTCCCACTGCCTGATCTATCCGGGGGAAGGAGCAAGCCTCCCCCGCAAGCTCCACTCTTTGTCTGAACCTGAGAAAGTTTCAAAGAGGTGAGGGGAGCCTCCCAGCTGACAGGTACTTCTAACCCTCAGCACCTTCTGTGCTGACGGGAAAAAAAGGGGACTTACAGAGACAGGTTCTCATCACATTGCGGGTGATGAAACACAACTGATGACGCAACCTGCCATGATCATAAACGTGGCAGAGCTGGAAGGGATCCCCTTCCCCCCCTCCTTCCCATCCCTCAGCTACCAGGTCTGGCAGCCTCCTTGCCAGCTGCAGAAAAGCAGACGGGTGAGAAGAATCCTCCTCTTCCACATTCCTCCTGCATCTGAAATTCAGGGGAACAGTAAAGCTCATCAGTGGATCTTCCCGAGATCCGACTCAGTTGGCATTGGCCAGCCTGAGGAACATTTCTGCAAGGGTGAGAGCAAGGGAGGAGCAACACTGCTGCGCTGGGACTTGCTCGCCTCTAGAAACAAAGCAATGGCCTGGCTGAAGACTAACCAGTGGGACTGTCTGATGCCCATAAGCTCTCCTTAACCCAGAGCCAGGCAGAAGTAAGTCAGACTTGGAGCTGCAAAACCTTCCATTTCTTCCTCCTCGTCATCTATCTGAGCTAAGGACCAGCCAGAGATTTGCCATTTACAGAGCAGGTGGCCAAGCGGCAGAGGTCAATGGCCACCATCACCCTGCAGAATCCCCTCTCCCACTGAACAGACAGGAGCTTTGGGGTTTACAGAGGCGATCCCAATCCTGGGCAGTGCCATGGGCAGAACTGACCAGCGGCGATGCAGATATTGGAAAGCTACAGCAGTGACAGAGTTCATCCCCTCAAGCTTCTGTCCCTCCTATGGTCATAACACACTGAGATGCTGGCCCTCCATTCTGTCTCCAGCTGCCAAAGAACTGCTTGGGGATGGCTAAATCCAATAATCGGAGCTGGATGTACTACAGGGGGTACATCTAGGTGTGCCAAGAAAGGGGAAAGGCAGACTGCTCCTCCAAAAGTGCTGAAATTTCACACCACCTCCCCTTTCTTTGCATAAGGAAGGTGGAGAAGAAACAAAAACTCACTCCCTGATCTTTTATTCCTAGGTTAATGGTACCCTTTAAGCAAAAGAGATCTTCAAAAAGGGCAAAAGTTTTAATATTAAGCAGGTGGCTTCAGCGCGTTTCCTGCTGTTAATGGATTACACATCCCTTTCCCCAAGGTCTGTTAGTGGTAAGACAAACAGCGGGCTCGAGCCTGGGAAGCGGCTCGGGGGGAGAAGGCCTGTGTTCTGTCTGAGACGTTCGCCCTGTGCTGAGCGTGGGCACCATGCTCAACCTGGGTGTAGCAGCCTTATAGCAGTCCCCTGGGCCTCTGTTTTTTCAGCAATGCACTGCCTAAGGGAAGAGATTTAAACCCTAACGCTGAACAGTACACTGAACAGATCTATATACATCATCCCAATATATACGCTGTGAAATAATACTCTAGGTTATTGCATAGAAGGCGGCTTGCGTTAGCTAGGCCTAAATGACAGTCTGGGAGCGTTGCCGGAGGCTCAGGGGCTTCAGAGAGCTGTTGGAAGCAGATGCAGGCTCTTGCAACGGTGTCTGGGACTCTTCTTTTCTGGAATGCTCCTCATACCATTCCTGCAACAGGAGATCAAATACACCGAGATCAGGCTCTGCCCCACGCTGGCCCCGCAGCCCCCCAGCAGGATCCCCAAGGGCAGAGCTTTTGGCTGTTCTGCCATGCAAGGGCACATTTGCATTTGAAGAGCTCTTTCCAAAGCCCTGGATATAGCCTGACCTCCTGGAACAACCTGGTTAGCTGCAGCTTGGCTGTGGTGGACAGACCTTGCCACCCACAGTCCAAGCAAAAGCACCAGCTATGGCTCAGCTACAGCAGGGTGAACTGACAAACCGGGGCAAGGAAGCATCCCTCTCTCAGGATGTCCCTCCTGAATGTCTAGGACTCTAGTATTGATGTCCCCATGATGTTTGGGATTTGCAGAGCTGCTCCTAATCCTGAGGAGCGCTCAGGGTGTTACAAGATGTTACATCCCTGAATCAGAGATGAGCAGGACATGCGGGGAGCTTCTCTGCAGATTTCCACCCAGCTTCATGGCAAACATGTTTATTTTTGTTAGGGGGACTGAAGACTCATCCCCAAGCTAGCTGCACAAGGGACAAAGGACAGATTCAAATGGTTACAAGATTAATTCTTTCAGTACTAATCATTACATTAGCCCACGACCTTCACCTGGAGGTGAATGTCTGGCAGGCACTATATTGATTTAAGTGTTTCCCATCCTTGTTAGCCTGCTATTCTGAAGGAAGAGCAGGCAGCTTTGCTTGCACCAGGCAGCACTCTGCCTGGGAGAACACTTGATTTCTGCATCAGCCAGACACGCCCAAGCTCAAACGCATTTGTTAAGCCACATTCCAGTGACCTAACAAATTAGCGTTCAGCAGCCAAGCCCCAGGAACGCACCACGCATGTGCTCGCAGCCCCGGCAAACACGTCCACCTCAGTGAGCCTAGGTAAGCTCAGCCACGCTGGAGTGCCTGCGTCCACGCCGAGCGCGGGTACTGTGGCTCGGCTGACACACACCAGCACAGCCGGGCACCTGGACCCACTGAGGAGGCTCGGATGCAACTCCGTGGT